CGACATGCCTGCGGTATATTTGTATTAACTCTAAGAATTAGCCTTACAACAACTGTTTAGAGGATAAGCTTCTGTCAAGGGTAATATTCTATGTAGAGCAGTGCTTTGTGAGCAGGAAAATTGTTTAAGATAATACACAGGTTTAGAGAGTCGAATTCCTTGAGGAGGACGGCAGTTGTAAAGATGATACCATTTCACCAATACACTGGCTTGTAAAATAATTCCATTCCAGGAATACGCATATAGCAATCCTAAGGCTATTCATGCTCTATAGGAAACTGAGGGATACTATCACTAAAAAGGGGTTCAACATACCAAGGGTGTTTATGTATAGGAAGCACTTCTTATAGGGAAAGTAACATTGTAAGTACAGTAATACATCGTGAACTGTGATTATCCCCTCTCAATATTATTGTAATATAGATTCAATAATTATCCTCGTACTATTAAGAAACAGTGATTATGGAAGATTTGGACACCTCCTTTAATCTGTAGTATTATCTTCTTAACAGGACTCCAAGTCGATGCGGTACTACTAAAATATAACAATTATGTGAAGTGAAGGATTAAAATTCTTATACCCTAGGGGAGAATGAGAGATTATAAAAGGAATAATAATATATACAGAAGGCTGTTACTCGTGAGAAGTTAGGAATAATAATAACATAGAGAAAGCGAAGGGGATAAAATGAGCATGAGAGTAAGAATCCAAATAGAATATTAAAGAAGCATTAACCTAGGAGGGCGGGGAGCAGACATATAGAAGCAGATGACTATAATAGAATGTATATACGAATACAACTGACATATTTGAGGAAATTATCTACTTCAGAGAACGGAGAGAGATATATGTAACACCATATAAAGAAACCACAACCCAGTGGGGGTATCAGCCTGACCATCAAAGTGCAAATGCCTAAGAGGAAAGGTACATAATTAATAACTACTGGAGGGACAACACGAGAAGGGAGGATACAGGGAAAGATGCTCAGGGGATGAAGATTAGACAATACACCCAAAGCATACAACCCAGAAAAACAGTACGGGTGGCATATAAGCAATAATGTGAACAGCAGATCTTTCCCTCAGACAAGATAGATATATGAAATCGAGGGTTTCCTCTTTTCTAACATATAACGGAAGGAATAAGTACAAATAATATCTAGATTCTGTGCTGAATTCATGAAGTGTAATAATTCGTACAATAGCTTCAAATTTGTCCGTATCTAAGACTACAGACAATCGTATAAGAAGCGTCTCGATATTCCCCAGAGGAAGATGTAGAATGTGAAATCGTATTCATAACACTTTTTATGAATAACGGAGTATAAGGCTATACGAGGAATACCTTCCTCTATTGAAATAGGAACCTGTCCTATGAAAGAGTCTTAAAGCACGATAGAGTTATGAAATACTTCTAAAAGATGACAAGAAGTGAGTGAATACATGATCATTTTCGTAGTGATATGGTTTTTATATGACTTTTAAGTGTAATGCTATATAGACCTATAGACCGTAATAGAAAAAGTCCCTCCCTTAATAATGAGTCAAATAGTTTTATAAAGATATTGTGTGTTATTCCACATAATTAGTTAACCGAAATTTTCCAGAGTATTGATCAGTTGTTGTGTGACTCATCTAGTTAAGCAACGGAGTATTTAGGTTTCAATAAAGTATTATAATGTACATGCCCCCACATAGTAGCAACAGGAAGACTGTTTAAATAACTGAATACCGAATGTTGTGGCGTATATGATATTTTCTTTTCTATATAGAATATCATGAAGGATAATGTAAAAACAAATGTCCTGAACTGCTAAGGAATAGACGAGCCGGAGAATCTAAAATACCCGGAGAACATCATATAATGGTTACGAATTTATTGATAAAACCTAGGGTATATTATAAAAACATCAGAGGGACAGTCCCAGGACGGCCAAAGAAAAAAAAAGGGGCAGAGGGAAAATGGGATTTGCGCCGTAATAGGGTAAATTAAGACATAGGCGCCCGTAGATAAGGGAAGAGGATTTGAGACAAATGGGACAGTGGGAGGGACAGGAGAAGCAAATAAGAACAGAAATCAAGGAAGAAGAAACAGCAGGAATATCTGCACTAGGACTGGTATAATAAAGGATATAAAGGAAGGACACCGATGGGAGTCAAAATAATAGAGGAATATTTAAGATAATTAGTATATGATAGGTGGAGGGGAAGTCAAGACAGAGAGAAAGCTACCCCAGAAAGGCGAACGGGAGAGAAAGCAAATAGGAGAAAGCAGGAGAGACAAATCGGAATTTTTGGACGGGTATAAATATGCCGGGCTAAATCGTAGACGAAGTATACAATGACATATTATGGACGATGACCCCCATAGGGGAAGACTAAGGACAGAACACCAGAAGCAGGAGAACAAGCGGCAGAGCAACTAGCAGTATATCATACAAATTTCCCCCTTCGTCAACATGGAAATATCATTACGGAGAAGGATGCGAAACGAGAAGGATACAATCAAGTAATTAAGATTGTAGGTTATTAGAAGAATGACAAGAGGGAAGAAGCAGCTCCGCAAATAACAATTCAATACAAATAAGAGTGAATCTCGTATATATGGGAAACCCAAGTAGAACAAGTTACTGCAAAGGCCGTGTGACATGAGTAGCAGTGAGTATATATAGAAAGCTAAGTTAACAGACGTTAAATAAAGAGTATATGAAGGAGTTATACAATATGAAATTTGAGAAGAACAGTCAAAGTACCCGAGATAGGAGGAAATAAAGGCCATAGAGAAGGAAGAGTCAGAGATGACTCTTATAGCATAAGGAACGAGTGTATCTAAAGGACCCCCAAGGGGGAAGTATCCCACGAAGAATAATTAATAGAAGTAGAGGACAAACCCGAGGCTTTATAATATGAACAAAACAGGAGGAATCCATCAGACTAAAGTAACATCTCTAACAGAATAAAACCCAGGAGAGAAACCCCAAAAGGAACTAAACTAAGAGTAGACCGAAGACATCTCGAGAACACCAGGTGAGTAAGAAAAAAAAAGGGAAACTAAATAATAACTCTATAAATCAAAGGGGGGATTGAGTAGGGGGGTGTAATCTAACCGAAGAATAGACTAAGAACCAAGAAGCCTAAATCCGAAGAGACCAAATAGGCATTTCACCCCCCAGACGGGATAGTTCGGAAACTGTAGTAGGTTAGAATTACAATAAAATCCAGTAGAAATATTAGCAGCAATCATCCAAATCCCGAAGTCACCTAAAATTAAAAAGGCTAGGGAACCGTCAGGATGAAGAGAACCTAAGCTAACACGAAGCTCATCATCCCGAGGCAGCCGAAGAATACTAAATAAAGCCCAATAAGGGAGGGATAACAGAAAATGAGAAACCATTTAGGAACCCCACAAGCCAAGTAACAGGGGTTAAGGGTCTTAAAGTCTGAGGACACTTGGAACCCTGAGGAACACAACAAAACAGATGAAGAAGGCACCCCTTCCGGAATAATACAGGCAAGTGTAACAAGTGAAACGGACTATAAAAAATTCCGACTCCGGAAGGACATGGTCACAACCCTAAGAGGAAGCAAAGATACCATCTCAGCAGCACCCAAAAGTTAACCAACCAAACTACCAAGAAAGAATCAGGCAGCAAGCCACCAAGGCGAAAAGGGAGTGAATTAACTGGTAACGGAAAGAAAAGGAGCTTCTCTAAGTCTAATCAGAAGCCAGCAAGGGGGCCCCTGACAACACAACTAAGAGCAAGGAAGAAACGGGACAAATAGAGAGGAAGATAAAGGAAGAGCCAATAGATCCCCAGAAGAAGGCATCTCGGAGCCCGAACCCCCCCAAAACTGATAAGAGCATGACAAAGCCACGAAGCTCCCCCCAATTACCGAGACCTATCCGTATATACACCGGGACACACAACGGGACAGGGACCAACCTAGTGAGAAGATCTAGCAAAGGACACAACCACCCGAAGGAGGGACATCGCCGGCCTCGAACGGACGACGGCGAGAGACTACCAAAGACAAGTTAGAAGGAATCCGACACCGCATTGGAGAAAAGGAAGCCAAGTCTAAGAAGGAAGGGGTGGAAGGCTAAATTCCCCAGAGGAAGAAGTACTAGAGGTTAGAAGAGTGAAGGAGGAAATTGTCTGGACGTCGAAAACACGGAGAAGGAATCAACAAAAGCGAAACCTCAAAAAAACCTCTGGAATCTTCACTCAGAACCCTCGTGGGAGCATGACTTCAAGAAAATAAGTAAAAGGAGCATCTCAATCATAAGGAGACTTAAAGAAATTTGGCTGGGCAACCTCAGTTGTAAAACAGCCCAGGATCCTCAAGCATAAGTGAACCAAGTGAAAACATTTCAGGAGGACACCATAAAAAAACTAACAATTCCCCGAAAAGACTGATGGAATCATAAGAACCAACTATGAAGTGGTGATCAGCCGGGGTTATATGGGGCCCAAGAAATTTAGAAGGGAGGGGGAGAAATCAGAAGAAAAGGCAGAAAATCTCCTCATTAAATACGAACATCGAGGTGACAGTCAGACCCATCCAAAGTAAAAATCCACGACTGAAGAGAGAGTACAACAAAACAAGAGCCCAGGCAGTAACAAGACACCTCAAAGGGAGGAAGAAGAATGTGAACAGACTGACAAAGTAAGCGAGACCGAGTATCAGAACGCCCCTTGATAGAGTAATGAACCAGACCATGAGATTAATCTAAGAAGGGACAAGGAGCAATAGGAGGGCAGAACAATTTTCATAGGAGCCTAGGTTGGATGGGCATAACAATAAGATCACTATGAAAACAACTAGCGGAATAAGAGGGAAATACAAAGGAGGACTCCCAAGTCAGGTCTCTCCACAAACCGAGTTAAATGTATAAGGACCTTAGACAGACATATGAGGACAGCTACCACTCCAGGATCAACTCAACCGTCAACCAACTAGGACCTCCCGACGCACCTATCTTATCTCCCCCCAAGAAAGCCGGAGACAACCCTAGGAGCCGGAAGAGAAGACCAACACAGGAACCCGAGGAAAGGTAACCGAGAGAGCCGAGGAAGGCACAGACAAAGGAAGCCAAGGAGTTCAAGGATAACAGGACAAGAACCAAAGATCAAAGAACTAGCGTACCTCCCCTCGAAACAAGCGGCAACAAAAAGAGGGAACTTCAAAGAAGGGGAGGACATGTGTGGACCTCATAAGGGACAAATTAACAAAGGGGACAACTCCTATGAAGGAAATATCCAGGGAATCCAAGCGGATGAGGTAAAACAGTACCCCCTAAGACACCAGGAGCTCCCCAGAACTCACCCCAAGTAGAAGAGGATATCCAGAAAAATAGGAGCCCCAGCGGCAGAATCTTGACAAGCCGAGGAGCAGGGAACGCCCAGATAAAGGAGATGCCGAATCTCAAGATATGACTAAGTAAGCGGAAAATACACCCTAGGAATAATAAGAATCAGGGACAAGAGAGTGACTGAAGAGTCAGATACCAAGGGACCAGACGCCAGGGGATTATCCAAGCCGAAGTCTAAGGCACAATAGGGCCAAGAAACCGTTCGGGATCCCAACCACCAAGCACAGGATCCGGTAACCGAGGAGTACCAGGCAAGGGAAGGAACAACTAGCTTCCAAAGACAGGCAAACACCCGAGAGAGTTTCCTTGAGCACCCCACCGGCACAAGATGGAAAGATTAGGGAAGAGGGGGCACCAATGTTCGAGACTGGCGGAGGGAGGATCTAAGGGATCAAAAAATGACAGGCCGGGGCAGAATTTAGGTCCCAACAAACCGAGCAAGATGAAGCTCCCGAGTCCGATGAAAGAGGGAGATTAACGGAGAGGCAGCGTAGGAGGACCAAGATGATAGAGACACACCACACCCCGGGCGAGGACGCGAATGGGTTGCGGGGAGGGATTGAAAAAAACTTAACAAAAGGAGACGAAGGGATTAACGATTAAAGTGAGGACGGGATAAATAGAGTAACAGGGAAGGAAGACGCCTGCACTTACGATAATAGAGGAGGGGACTTCTAGAACTCAAAGGGAATAAGCTAGGAATCGGGAAGAGAGTGCAGAGGGGACGCAGCGTCTAAATAACATCAGCTAAGAGCTAGAAGGACCTCAAGTCAGGAGAGCAGGAGGGAGCTTGAGAAAATCGGGTAGAGAGCCGGAAAGATAGCAACAAAAGAAGCACGGAGACTCTGAGATAACCTCCCCAAGCGTATAACGAACGAGCACGAGGATTAGACCCCGAAGAGTGAGCCAGAAAGGATCCCAGGGTTTGAGGGGTTCTCCGGGATACCGAGGGAACAGGCAGTATTCTTCAGGCAAAGTGTGGTGGAGACGAAATTAAATCACGGGAAGCAAGGATGACAGGGGTTCTAATTTTAAGACTACACTCGAGCCTTGACAGGGAGACGAGACATAAGAGCAAACCCCAGAGGAGAACCAATACACGGAAAGCAGGAGGAACACAACCCGCCCGAGGGATAACAGAAGAATTTGAGGGAGGTTCAGTGAAATGAAGCAGAGGAGTCCACGAGGGAGCAGACGGCCCTGTTGAATCAATGTAGGAGAAGAGTTAATTAAGGATAAAAACGCAATAATAGCCGAAGGAGAAGGAGAAACGGGTGAAGGGAGTAGATTATAGAGCGAACATCAGAACGAAGCCGTCCGAAGGGGATCTCAAGAAGCACCCACCCGTACGGGAGGGGGGTCTAGGGAGCAGCTGGAGTTCCAAGGGTGCCAACCAAGGATCTACGAGGGCACAAGCGCAGGGAGCAAGACGGGAGGTGGATAAGATTAGAAGTTCCACTCCCCCGAATGTGAGTGAAGGCAGACGAGGAATGCCAAGGGAACTCCTGTGGGAACGGGAGGACAGCCCCCCAGGGACACCACCCGGACGATGGCCTCCACAGTCAAGGGCAGAAGGAAGGAAGGTCGAGCCAACCAAGAGCCAAGATAAGGACCACAGAATAATGCAGTAAGAGAAGGTCAAAAGAGAGTTAAAGACACCGATTCAACCCGGACCTCCCCGCAGGGAGGACAGGGGGATGAACAAAAACACAATTGCCCCGGAGGAGGAATAAGTGGAAAGTCAAATCATGAGCGCCGAAGGCAAAGGAGGATGATGCCTAGCAAAGGACTTAGGGGCTCACATCAAAGGTGGGATCCTGAAGGGGTATAGCTAAAGGAAAGGAACTAGGGGGGGTTGAGTGGGTTCCAAGACAGAGAAGAAGCAGGCGTAACTGGAGACCTAGTGGAAAAAGGGGGAAGATTATAGTGACAGGCAAAAACAGGTGAGGCTCCTTACTAAGACTAGGAGCAGTCTTAGGGAAGAAGCGACACATCAGGAAATGGGGGACCAGTGAACCACCCCCAATAAGAACAAGGAAACCCAAAGGACAACCATAAGGTCAAGTCAAAAACGAGGCCGAGAGAAAGGAGGGTGACTCCGAACTGGGGACAAGACCGGCCGCCGAGGGAGGAGCCAAGTGGAAGAGGGAAGAAAGGGCCAGCGCGCGAAGACGTGGTGACGAGTATTTAAGAGGGGGGGGCTATCTGGAGAGGGAGGGAACTTTCGACCGAGGAGGGGAAGGACGATCGGCAAGGGGAACTACGAGGCAAACACGTGAATTAAACGAAACAGGGAGACCGGGAGGTTAAGGGGACCGGGGCGGGGGACTGAATATGTCTTTGACCTGAAATAGGACGGAAAAGCAGGATTAGGTGAAATAATAAACAGAAGGGAGCATGGTGGATAAGTTGAAAGGCAACGGATGATTGGAGAGATTCTGTCTCAGGTTTCTCTGTGTAGGAACCAGAAGAGAAGGGGGAAAAGTGGGCGTCACGAGGGGCAAAGAAATCGGAGGAGAGTGGAGAATAGATCAAAAGGCCAAGCAAAGGAAGAAGGACCGTGGATACCAGAACAGTCCGATAAACTGTAAGGGGGGGCATCTCGATTGAGGGGGCGGAGGGGCACGGGGGCACCGACTGAAGGGTAGGGAAGGGGGGATGAGGACGTCAAGTCGGAGGTACGGGACTCTAGAGAGGATGACAAGGAGAGCTAGGATGCGGAGAGGAACAGGAACCACTTGCGGAAGTATGGAGGCTGTCACTGGAGGTAAGAGGCGGAATGAGATTAAGATGAATTAGGAAGTGAAACTCTAAGCCCACCGCAACGCCGAGCCCAAGAGGCAGATAGTCCTTCAAGGGAAGGGACTACGGAGGGGAACAATTCGAGAAGGAGGTGGAAAGGAGACGGTGAAAGAATCCCCCCTCACGGAATTTAGAGAATGGAGTTATCGAATTGATGAATTTCGAAGAGGGAAGGGAAAAAAGGGAAGGAGAACAAGACAACAAACTGGGAGGAGGGGCTTGAGGATGGGATTAGATGCGGGGGAAGAGGATCGAACAGCAAACACCAGAGAAGTGAGAAGGGAGAAGGGGGACGGAAGCACCCAAGGAGGCAAGGGGACTCTCAGGAATAAAACCGAAGAGGAGTTAGACATCTCCTTGGGAGGAAGTGATCGATCACCCCAACTCTACAACCGAGGACCGAACGAGCCGGTGGGAAAGGACAATCGAGCCAGAAGCCCAAAGCCGAAGGACGGAAGGACGACAGGGAACGAGTATTGACGTGGGGAGCAATGTAATTGCGCGGAGTGGAAGATGGGAGAAGAGGCCGCCTACAAGAAGGGGGGAAGTGGAGGAGAGAGGAAAGGGATCAAAACACCCCGAAGGGGATTTGGACTCGAAACGGAAGGCGTGAGGAATTTTTGTTGAGTCTATAGCAGGCCTAAGGGCCGATTTAGGGACAGAGCTCGAGCACAAATACGGACGACAAACAGAAGGAAGAAGGATACGTCGAGCAGCCCGAGCCAAACTCACCGGAGACACTCCTCCAGGAGAGTAGAAAAGATCATAGTCACATCTAGAGACGAAGTATAAAAACACAACTCCATAAACCCCAGGCGGCGAAGGTGCGATTAGGGTAGTTGAACAGGCAAGGGAACCGAAGGAAGCTCCCGGACAGGGACTCAAAATACCAGAGGATCCCTGACAACAGGGAAGAGCTAGAACAACTTCGAACCCAAGGAGGAAACATCCGATCCAGAACCACTGAGGAAGGGCTAAGGTTTGCGGACGTTAGAGGACTAGTATTCTCACTTTCCCCTGAACAAAAATAGTACCCAAAAACGCCACGTCCTTTGAGAATCCAAGAAACAGTGGGAGTAGAAGACGTTCGTTAGAATAAGCCCATGAGTCGATTTAGGTTCCAGGATTATCTCCAAAACCTATGGGAACAGAGGCGGTGCCCCCCCCCAAAAGAACAAGGAAAGATTGCGACAAGCGGGATCTGTCGATTAGCGCGGGATACTAAGGACCCCAGGAAGGATGTAAGCCGGGATGACAATCTGGGGAGCGAATTCGAGAAATGGCAGAAAGCGTCGAACGAGAGTCAGAAAGCAATAATGATATGCAAAGGACTAGAAGTATGGTTCAACAATTTCGTGCGCAGGGACGGAGTTAAACTATACGAGCAACAGGGCGGATGCACCACAGACGGACTCGGAATCACCAAGGGTTTCCGGGACATGCGGAAGTGTCCATACTATCCCAACTCGGAGGAATGGAGGAATATATATAGTTGGAGTGAGCTATGGAGCCAGAATAAGTATGAGAGGAACCTGAGGGTGTGTATGGATATAGTCCAAATTTTAATAAGGGCGTCTAGTCGTGCTTCCTTCGACGGAAACAAATGGGTTGATGAGAAACAAACAGACTTATGCCAGGCAGTATATGAGGTCCTCACCTCCTGGGCCAACCAAACGTGTGCGAGGAGGATTTTGGACGAGTGGTTTACACCAGGAAACAAGTCCGACCCAAAGAATATCCTAAAATTGAGAAGCGACAAACCCATAGATGGGGTATGGGGGGCGTTCTTCTGGGAGGTTAGCAGTTTGGTCACGAGCATGCAGTGTAGTTGGGATTCTATGAACCAAAAATATAACACCGTCTGCGCCTATTTGGATCCGAAGGGTTGTGACATGGGAAGAGGTGAGGAGGAACCTGACGTAATGACCAAGGTAAAGGGGAAGTTCCAGTTGAATGAAAATTCACGGCTGGGAGAGAACAGACGGTTCCAAGGGTATGGAAACTCAGGGACCAACCTCCAGCCACTCCTAGCGGAGGAAAATCCTCACCGTCAAGCCAACGGGAGATCCGGAACCCCACGCCAGAAGTGGATACGGAATCCAAATTTTCTTTACCCTTTGCAGAAAGTGCAGGAGAGGAAGGAAAAGTTAGAGGAAGTCTCCGAAGACAGAGACAAGGCCGCCTTATCCAAAGCAAAGAGGGGTCTACAAGAGCAGATAAAGCAAAGCAATCCAACGGATGAAGTGAGTATCAGCAAGGTCTTAGGAGGATCGATTCCTTTAGGGGTACTCGTAGGGGTGGGAGTCTATTTCTATAGGAGAGTCTTTGCAGCAAGGACAAAGGACGCGAAACCCCACACGTGGAAAGGGTCGAGATTGGAGGAGTTAAGAGGAGGGTCTAGGACACGGGCCAAGGGTCTAGGATACCAGGCAATTTCGGAGGAGCAGTTCCCTGAGAAGGATATGCTAGAAAAAGGGGAACCTCAATAGATCAGGTGGCTCACAAATAGCCTAAGGGAGAGAAAAACCGAATGATACAAAAGGTAACAAACGGAAGCCTTACGAATAGATTCATGATCAATCGGTACGAATTCCTCAGGTGATCCCCGTGGGATTTCGTATAAAGGAAAGGCCCAGGGAGAATTCTGCTTCAGTACAAGATAACGGACGGCAGGCTCTGGAGAGGGACAAGGACCCGGTACGTCAATGCCAGGGATTCCTCACTGAAGAGAGTAGTTTAGGGGAGTGGAGGAGAGCCCCCCGACGTGGGGGAACAATGTAGGAATCAGGAGAGTTAGGGCCAACGTATGTCAAGATTCTTAGAGTCCGAAAGGGGCTCCTCCTCCCTAAGGATTGAGGAGGAGTAGAGGGTTTTGGGCCAAGTAACCCGTCGGGGGACCCCGCAGGACTCAGGGAAGATGCGGAACGAATTCTCCTGAGGAAACGGCACAGGTGCCGTTGGGGGGTCCCTAGTGAGCAGCCTTCGCTTGAGAGTCTAGCGTTCAGGGCTTGGGGTTTCGGATTCCGGGTTTATGGGTTAGGTCTTAGGGTTTAGGATTCAATGTATGGTTTAGGGTTTATGCTTCAGGGTTTAGGGTTTAGTGGTTTAGCGTTCAGTTTTGCAGGTTTTAGGGTTTAGGGTTTATGGTTCAGGGTTCACGGCTGAGAGTTCAGGCTTCAGGGTTCAGGTGGAGGATTTAGCGTCTAGTCTTACCGTTCAGGGTTAGTCCTCAGGGGCCAGGGGTTACGGTTCAGCCTTCAGACTTCATAGTCCATTTTGTAGGGTCCAAGGGTGTTTCTTATGGTTTATGGTCGTGGGTTCCAGGGTAATCTTTAGGGATGATCTGCAATTTTTGACGGGTTAGGGATCATGTATTCAGGGGTTACGGCTTAGGGATTACTTCCTAGGTTGTTTATTATCGGTTCAGGTTTCGGGGGCTAGGTCCTCGGGTTCAGTTGGTCATTCTTTATGTGCCAGCGTTCATGGCTCCGATTCTAATTTTCTGGATTCAGGGCCCTTTTTGTACTTCTTAGATGTTGACTGCTTCATTGCTCAGTTTTCATGTGCCTCGTCTCTTCTCTTATGGCTGAGGACGGATGTGTGTGATTCTAGTTTTAACTAGTCGCGGTCTTCCGATCATGGTGTAGGCTGTGGGGCTCAGCTTCCGGTTTAGATGCTATGGTTGATTCCTCAGTTTCTATTGCCCCCGTTTCACGTTGATGTTTATGTTCTAGACTCTACGGTTTAAGGCTAGGGTTCTTTGTTCATCTTCGTCTCGTTAAGTCTAGGCTTGAAGGTTTAGAGCTCAAGGCTTATCTTTTAGGTTTTAGCTCTCAAGGGGTACGATTCAGGTGTTATGGTGTACGGTTTAGATGTCAGGCTTACTTCCTAGTTTTATTTCTGAGGGTTCAGTGACTAGTGCGTATATTATAGGGGAGGTGGCTGGCCATTATGCTCTGACTGGCTTTTGTTCAAGGTTGACGGGCTCATTTGCCAGTGATTTGTCCCTAGGGTTTATTTTTTATATCTTATTCCTCAGGGTCATTGGCTACTCCTTAGGGGTCATCCTTCAGATTGGACCCTGTAGTGTTTACGGTTTACTCTTATGGGTACAGGACGTCAGCTTTGTGGTACTAGATCTTAGGGATTAGGGCTCATGGTTGAGCGGTTAGCTCTCATGGGTTGATTTTTAGTTTTTAGGCTTCAGTCTCTATTTCTTAGGTTCAGTATCTATTGTTGAGGGTTTAGATTTAGGAGGTAGTGTTTTATTGGGGCTAGGCTTTATTCTTTAGGGTTAGGGTTTAGTGTGTAGCCGTCAGGGGTTACTTTTCTTCTCTCGGCGTTAGGCTCAGGATTCAGGGTTTATGGATTACTGTCCACCCTTAGTCGGTACGCTGCATAGTCCATGGCCTTAGGGTTCAGTCTTCAAGGTTCATTGATCAGAGCTCATGGCTTAGGCTGATGATTCAGTGCTTACTGTTCACGCATTTTTTCCCAAGGTCCTTGGGTTTAGGGATTACGGTTTCGGGCTCCTCTTTTTAGGGTTGATGGCCTAGGGTTTCGGTCTGAGTGGCTCGGGCGTATGGTTTATCCATCCTCCCTAGACTTCAGGCATCATGCCTACGATCTGATTTTTTTTGATCCACTGCTAGGGCTTATGCCTTATCTTTCAGGTTCCAGGCTTCACTTTTTTGGGGTTAGGGGTTAAGCCTCACGATTCACGTCTGACGATTGTAAGCTGTATTTTTTAGGTTGCTGGGAGTAAGCTGTAGGTTTCATGCTTTATGGTTTAGTTTCCAGAGCATATCTCTCACGGGTCAGATTAGATTGTCGATGGCTTCTGGTTTTTGCTTGAGGTTTCAGGGGTTACGTGCCTTGGGGTCCGGATTCACGTCTTAGATTCTAGATTTTGTTCTTAGAGGTTAGTGGTGAGGTTTGAAGGATGAGGGTTTAGGTTTCAGGATTTAATGCTTCTGTTGGATACGGTTATTTTTTATCTTTTAGGTTTTTGGCTGTAAGATTCATGCCTCGGGGGGTACTGTTCATCGTTTATCCTTGTCTCAGCATTTAATTCTTAGGGCTTTAGGCATTATCTCTGGTGGATCAGGGTTTAGGGGGTACTCTTCAGGATCTATTCTTCTGGGGGCATGGCTTCTTATCTATTTGTTTCTCTTTTGGGTTCCGGGCTTACTGTTCAGTCTTGATTGTTTATTCAACATTTTTTAGGTCTTACGTTTGTGCTTTTTCCTTCTTAGTTCCTACTATCCCTGCCTGGGCGTGATGCTTCAGGCCTTATTCTTGAGGGATAAGTGATCCTTCTGTACTGTTCATTCTCTATGTTCCTGCCCTTTAGTTCTAGACGCTAGGGGTTAGCTGCTGAATTTAGAGCTTAGCGGGTTAGGATCTTGGTGTTCATTTCCTGGTTTTATCGTTCAGGTTTCACTCTTTAGGGTTTAGGTCTGATGGTTTAGCGATTCTTTCATAGTTGTGAGTGTTTAGTTTCCACTAGACACCCTTCACCTTTTAGGGCCTAGTTCTCAGGGGGTACGACCCAGTCCTCATTATTCCAGAGATTAGGGTTTGGTTTTCTAGGGCTTAAGGTTCTAGGTCTACGACTCATTTTTCATGGCTCCGCCGATATGGTCTATGGCTTAGGATTCATTCTATAGGGTCTTCTGCTCTTGGCCTGTGCTTCATTGCCTAGGTCCCTTTGTTTATTTCTCAGGCTTCGACGTCGGATTTGTTCTCTCTATTGCGAAGTCACGGAGTGTATTCTGCCTATGGGCAACTCCTTAGTCCTTCTCGTCTATGCCCTATCGCTTAGGATCTATTGAGCCCTTCTCCTCCATATGTTTTATAGCTCACTTTTCTCTTCCTCCATCCCCGGGCCCTGTCGACTCTCATGGTTTATGCTTTATGATTTTTGATTGGCGGGGGGGGTTTTTACGATTATGGTTTCCTCCTTATGTGTGATGCCCAGGTCCTACTTTTAGTTGTTATAGGCTAGGGTGAACATGGCAGCTATTATTCTTTAGGTTCCAGCTTGCAAGATGTCGGTCGGATATTTAGGCGTCATGCTTATTTTTGACTGAAGTGGGAGTTCCCCCTAAGACGTATGGACGTCCTCCATTGGCCCTGATTTACATCTTAGGGTCTATGTCGTATTGGGATTTTGTTTTGGATGGTAGTTTTTAGCCTGATGTTCTATACTTTCAGCTGCAACTTCTTACGGCTTATTGATTACTTATGACTCAGAAACGTCCTTATTCCTTGAAGTTTATTGTTCTATATAATTCGGTGATGCATCTTCCAACTAAAAAATAACTAGACATACCGTAATCCATCGAGCAGTTAAATGTACTTATAGACTCCATAGGGCCGTGAATGAAAAAAAATTTAGCGATTGTTTAAGAAAATCATTGCAACCGGTTTTTATTCTTCAACATAATATTTGTCATCCTCTACAAAAAAAAGAAGAAATAAAACAACAACAGAAGGTAGTTATATTTCCTGCAGAGAAATTGTCGAAATAATCATACCAGATTTCAACCCTCAGTGGAAGACAAGCATATATATCTCTTTTTCTAGGAGACTCCTGGTTTATGTACGGAATTTTACTACACTCGCTGGTCATCATAGCCGTGACCCGTGTCTGTTGCGCAGTGTTCCTTTTATTTAACAGGATTATTCGCTGAACTTCCGTGTGCCACTAACACTTTCCCTTCTTTAATAACTTATTATGTACAAATATAATAATATGTCTGCAATATATAGGGGCGTCGTTGCACCTTTTTCTCTTTCATCTTCATACTTCCTCTGGTATAAAATGAGATTCATCCTCTATTATTAACTGTGCGCACCTGATAATGTATACATAAGATGAAGGACAATATGCTACAGGATTATCCCATAAGAACAGGAATGTTAGGTAGTGTTGTTGCCAAGTCTGGTAAAAACATATGTCCGCTGCAGATACATGAGTAGTGCAGTGTTCCTCCTGTTATCTTCTGTACCCATGGGGCCGTCTAGATATTATATATATGTATATATATACGGAACCACCCCCTCATAATCCTCCTCCATCGAGAGCAATTTACTTGCGACTTCTACAGTTTTCAAAACGCCCCCACTACATGTTTCCCCGCGGATTCCCTCTGCACTGACGGTGTGGATAGTTATGCGATTTTTCCCGGTTGATATCTGTCCCTGGATGAATCCATTGGTCAAATTTTGCACATAATATAAAGGCGAAATATATCTTATCATGAAATTGTTATATACGTTATAATAATAAGGGCCCGGTAGTGAAGAAATCGGTGGGCGTAAGAGAAATGAATGGTCCAAATAAACCATGATCCTATATGTTCGATCTGTGCCGTCCTGCAAAGAAAATAGAAAAGACATATACGGCCTAGATGGGCAGCATTAACAGATAAATACGAATTCACCGTAGTAAGTAATGCACCTTTGAGGAAGACACTCAGGGAACATGTGTTCAGTCATCAAGATGTCTTTATACAAGGAAGTGGTAAGATATGATCCGGCTGAAGAGACTCTATAGTGAGAAGTACAGTTCAGTACACGATGTGCATAGTTGCACAATGCAAGTGCGGTTTCGGGCACTCCCTCACCGGAGGGTTGGAGATATGTATTCGCAAACGGTATGCCTGTTTTTCCTCAATATCATCTGGTGCGGCCTATGCATAAACAGGATGCCCCCTTTAGCTCAGAGAACTCTTCCTGCTTTTTCTTCCAACTTAAGTTGAGGATCGGCCTCATAAAGTAGTCATCATGGGATTCTTGCACCTGTATGTCTTAATATCTGCTGTCTAATTGATCACTGAATCGTTGCGATCCTGGCTTTGCCTGCTCTTCACACAGTGTCGATTCTGCCATTTCCCCCTCAAATCAACTAATAGGACAGGTAACAGCGACATGTTCTTTATCGTATATGAAATCATTTCTGACTATATAGGTCAGCTACTTCTCTAAGGAAGAAACAGAGGTCAAATAATAAAAAATTCGAAAGATAACGCGTCTGCATTTCAGGTGTTGTGCACACGATCCCGTCTCGTGTGGTGTAATGCCTCTAACAGTGACTGGAGGGAGACCCCTACGAATGAAATCAGAAATATCCGGAATAAATTATAATGATGTAACAGATATTTATGGAGCCATATGAGAATCATTCGCGATTATATATCGTCGTATTAATGCATCCAATCTGAGAATGCTCATAATACGGGTCTGCTCCGTCGTCATTTTCCTCCTTTGCTTTAACAAAGAGTACAAAAGACACAAGACAGCAAGAAGGGAAGGTAACAGTGGTGAATGGCGACAAATGAATTAAAACATCGTTCCTGATGTCAGCAAAACAGAGATTAAAGAGGAAGTCACATGTCCCTCTTAATATTAACGTCGAGAGAAAAGATAAAATATATGGAGATTGAACAGCACAGAGCCAGAACGGAAGTGAAAACAGAAACAGCCAGTCTGACACACATCAGGGAGGGCATATAATAATTCAACTAATAACCCCTTATAGAAATCCCTCCTGAATTTTCCTGATCTTCACCTTTAAAGACACCAGATTTCTCCTTCTTGGAAGCTAATAGAATGCCACCAGTGATTTTTCTTTTAGTACACATGAAACATACTCCTGATCAGCTTCATGAAATCAGACGCCAGGGAAGAGAAAGAGACACTTGTTGTCATGACAAGAATAAATTATATAGCTATTTTAGCTTCCTATACCAGAATCTGATTCCAGGAGCTGTATTCGGGGTAAGTGATGAGGCATCCATTTAGCTATATAGGTTTGCAGCATTTGGATGATATCCAAGACCCCCCTAAAATGGCAGTTCTTTCCTTATAATTTTACACACCACATGAAGGACTTTGTAACCACCATATTAAAGTAAAACTAAAAGGAGGGACTTACTCAAGGCAAGATACCATATTACAGTACGAGACATAGTGGGAATGTGATGTAGATAACACGATAAGAAAAAAAAAGGGACTAAGTGTTCAAATTATAAAGGGGTTTTGGGAGTTACGATCCCCCTTCAGCGATGGGGAAGAAGCCCTATCATTACAACATAGCATCCAATAATAATCAGTCACTTTGTTGGAACAAGTTGCTGACATCTTGTCCCACATGTATTTTTCCACGCCTCATATACAATCCTTAAAAGCAAGCTTCCTGATACCGTCAAATTTTTTTCTCTATTCGGATACTTTCAGAAGCACATAGAGATATCCTATGACGCCTAAAAGAAGGAGTCCATAATATACAGGAGGGACAACTGACAATGGGATGCCTACTAATAACGGTAATACTCCCAGGATGAATGCAACCAGCATCGGTAAAAGGAGCATCAGATGATATAATTCAATTCCTAGTAGCTAGTACTCACTGCTACTAATATGCGGATGGTGTTTACTCCTCCTTACTGAATTCTATGCCTTATATGATAAGGATGAGGCGGGACGATGTAGAATTGTTCAACAAGTATGTATTATTTCTGCCGTTGTGATCTTACGTATTGGATCGGACACCAAATTGATGACGACGTGTTATTGCTTGAGGATTATAGTATGGATTCCCTCGAATGGCTGCTGATGATTCCGGATTTCGAGTATTGCGATGCTTACTAAGATTCCTTCCTTCAGTCGCTGCTGTAGTGTATGGATTTTCCGCATTTCCCCTTTGAGGTTCAGGAGATATTTCACTTGATGTTTTACTTCGGTGCTGAATGTTCTATTTCTCATTGATAAGGTCACTTGGACAACCACACTTAATTCCCTCTGATATCCTATGATAATGCCGATTCCGGTAGTTAGAACCCTCTGTCTTACGTACCTAACCTTTTGAAGAAACCGTTGTAGAATGTCCATATTATTTGTAATCATAAAGATCTGTATGTTTCGGATGTCTTGTAGAAAAGAATTACGTTGCTTTAGATCCCCTGATAATCCCCCTTTTGAGCTTTCATCAATTATTGCATCATTATTTGTGAGCTCCTGTATAGTATGTGCCGGCCAGCGCCTATCTAAAATATCCCCATTAGGTGTGAGACTTCGTTTCTGAAAATCCTCTAACAAAGACTCTTTACAGGAGCTGTCAATACTGCCTCTATTTTTCAGGATATATGTATAATCCCTTCCGAGACAAGATCCTGAAGCCTATAGTAATTTCAAGTGTTTCTGAACATGTGTCAATAATAGCCTAGTATTCCTGAGGCGCACAATGCCAGTAGTGTTATTGGTGGTTGTTATATGTCTATGGCCTGATTCCACTAAGGACAAATTATGAGCAGGATTATCGTACATCCTGGAAGACGACGTTTCCCTGTTTTATAAGTATGATAAAATCTTTCCTTCCATAATGAGGAGGGAATAACTTTTCTCTATTGATAGGGGACATCTGATATTTACCATGCCCTTATCGTACGCAAAGCATAATAATACATAGGTTATCCTAGAAATTCCTTCCAAAATTCGGAATTCGATTATTCGATACTTGCTTTAATTTCTCTCTGGTTCATGTCATGTTTCTCACCACATTATTCTATATGTTATATGCTCATATCTTTATATGTACTCCTCCATTTATATCTATACCAGCATCTTTCGATTTATTCATATATGCAGACTTATAATGATACAGGCTTGGTCCTTTGTAAGTATAGGGACTTATATATTCATATAGATTAATAATTATCGACATAGGACTGCACAGGAACAGAAAGGATGAACTCTGAGTTTTCTATTGTCTGTGGCATCTTGAAATACTGAGTTTATGTTAGTGTATAAACCTCTCCCCTTTTTCGTATCCCTATTCGGTGTCTCATCTATATATAGACTGGGGGATATAGGAGGTCATCACAGTCATGTATGTGACGCGTACCCTACAGAGAGAGGATTGAGGGCTTCCCAGAAAGAAGGGGCATCCTCATCATCAGATTCTGTTATACTCTTCTGGTTAATGATAATAACAGGGCATAATTTAAGAATCATTTCTATGTAATATTAATATTATGATATAGAAGACGGCGGAGAATATATGTTTTATAGGCGAACGGAGGAGAGAATAAGATTCATGACATGTTGGGACTCCTATTCGGCGGCTTCCGTAGGATTCATCCACAATGGCTTTTATCAATACCATTGAGGATGAGCAATATTCTCAAGAATGTTAATGAACAATTCTCAAGTCGCTACAGAAGCTTGCAGCGATATTGGCGCAGAATTAGGGTAGAAATCCTAAAAGAAGGAAGCATGCGGATAAATATCACAGGAGTCACTTGGAACTTATGGTTACGCACTCTGTGATTTATAATTGACGATGTATCAGGAAATTACTTCAGGGAGCAATTATTGTTTTAGTACTCGGAATCAGTAATCTTCTTATATTCGACGTATCGCTGAAATGAGAATACCTATTGTAAACACTTATGTTGATATATACCATTGTATATATATATTATGGAATAATTACTCCTGGGTTAATATTTTATAAAGCGTCCCGTCACTATGATTTTTATGATTTAGGCATAGATCGCAATGGGAACTAGTTATATAACAGGATATCAGGATGGGACCAATACCTTATGAAGGACATCTCATCTAAGGAATGGTCATGTAATGTATTGGATTCTGTTATGACCCTCTGTCTTTTCCTTGGTATCTTATTTTTTTCCCCTTTTGCACAACATAATTAAAGGATATTTCCTCATACACCGCCTCTTTGTTCAGGATTTCTTATGTGTTGTCGGGTACATTAATCATATTATAGATTTTACAATAATATAGATTACCCCAGATGAGAAATATGCTGTATCCGTTTTCGAAAACATCAATCCCCTGTCAGTTGTTTCACAATGAGGTAAACACTCTGCAAGCTGATACTTGTATAGTCCTATTAAGATTGAGGATGTGTTAATCGTGAAGTTTACTGCTGCTACTTTTGCCTTCTTCCTCCTTCTTCCTTCCCTTTCTTTGCTGTTTCGTTCTTACTTTCTTTATGTCTCGTCTGTAATATACTATGATTATTTTGTTCTATATCTCTATAATGTCCAGGTCCATATTTTACATACATAGGTAATGCACTATAATTAATTGACGTACACTTCTCATATTAATTATTTCTCTGACAATAATTTGTCAGGATCTATTTAATTATACGGCACACATGTTATGATTCCTTGCACCACGAGGCAATATTGACACTGTTCTGTTTGTTTCCCTGATTTCATCCTGGTGATAGTACGTAACTGTTTTGACCCCTATATAACCAACGGTATTTATCATAGCTCTCCTATTTTATAACTCAGTAAACGTTGGCCACTACACACTAATATATAACGGTCTTCTATAGCTTAGGTCCCAGAAATATTATATTATCTTTCAGAATTTGTAATTATTACAATTCACATTGTTATTTATTTCGATTCAGTCACTTTATTTAAAATTGATTCGTTCCCTTATTAGTATATAACATATGCATTAAAATACAGAACTATCAGATTAAAATTGCAATACAATGCGGACCTCTTCCTAAGGGTGCATACTCTATTAGCTATATTTCTCTAAAAAATATGATATTGACATGAATGAATCCGATTTTGTCATAAAAAATAATTATGCACTGGTCTATTTAATTATCACTTGTACAATGCGCTCACATGTGTTGCACACTTCCCCTGTAACTCCACTGAATTATTCATTCCTGCAGAAGCCCCTCCGCAATTTTACTGAATTATTTATTTCTGTAAAATGGTCCGTGTAATTTTAGTGTATCATTTATTCCTGCATATTTGTGTCTGTAGTTGTACTGTTCTATTTATCTTTCCATCACAACCTTGGTAAGTGCAGCGAATCAGTTATTTCTCCACAATAGTCCGCTTAATTGCATTGAGCTATCCATTCTTGCAATGACTCTCCTGTAACCCCATACAACGATCGATATTCCTGCAACATCTGCTGTTATTCAAGCTGTGAGCTCCCCAAAGGATTTCCGATTTTTAAAAAATACACACAGAAAAATCACGACGTCACTATGGAAGAACACAGAGCAAGAAAAAAAAAACTACGAAGCCACAAGAAAAATAACCTAAAAATCAGTGACAGACGCATTTTAATAGGATTTCATTGTAAACTCTATCCAATGGACAAAATGAATATTACATTATAAAAAGGCGCTTTATTACGGCGTATAAAACATGTTCGGGGACATCAAGGTGTCCCAATCGCTTTATCGCAAGTCCTCAGAACATAGATAATTTTGGTATGTACTTAATGATAATTCTATAATCCTCACATGTATATGTACATAAATTCAGATATGCATATATATACCCCTGTGATCACCATGTATAGATGAAAATGCCGAAGAAGCAAGGTTATATACAATATGCAGCAAGCCCCCCTCCCGGATTATCTCCCGAATTTGTGCATTCGCCCCCTGTTGCATTATAATGTAATGCAGAAATATCTAATGATTTTTAATATAGACAAGATTTTCACTATATATTGATGCATTCCTATCTTAAAATATAATGAATACAAACATCCTTGATAAAGAAAGCATATGAAAAAATTATTTATGGGAGAAAAACATCCCTGGAATGTTTTCCATGAAGGGTCGGGTTCCTTCTTTTTCTCTTTGAACGATGTAAAAAAATTAACCGCACTTACAAAACAAACATTGCAGGATATTTGAACCTGCAACGCGAAAATGGAAGACATCTCAAATATTGAATTCTGCACTTCTTCTTTGTTTCCTTCGGTATTGATCCGGCTATGTGTTTTTTATTTCTTCCTTGGCCGCCTGTTTCCATCTATCACCCAGTGCAATATGTATTGATGTGTGTTATACGCCGCTATTTTTTAAGCCCCTTAAGTTCTTCATACTTATGAGCATAGAATGCTACATCAGAATTAACCTATGCTATCATGTGATGCATATCGAATAACCCTGTTAATGTTTTATGTCTTTACTCAAAACGCGTTTATCATTTCTTAATTATTTACCCATTATGGTAGTGCAATAGAAGAAAAATCCTGAACACTCTTTATTTCTGCATAATATGATTAATTATATTCTAGCTGAATGTCCTTAAGCAGCACTATGAGCTCCAATGTTTCCATATTCCGGCCATCCGGATAAATAAATATGTTCACTTTTATATTGTTCGAATCTAAGACTAGACTGTTTTGCATATTCCTCATTCTAATTGGGGCAGTTACCCAGGGACCTGAATACACCTCCTCCTTAGGGCTCTGTAATAGACAATTATACTCAACATGCAGGTTGCGGTTTGTGTGTGCTCCGCTGTAGTCGATGTTTGTGCCTTCTATGTGAATCGAAACCTAATTGTTCCCATTCCTTTTTTATTCCTCGTCCTCTGTGATGTATTCTGCACCAGAACTAAATAATTCACCCAAGAATTTTTAGCCTTCTCATATATAATCTCCGTACGCTTCCTTGTAATTGCTTAGTTTAAGACATATCATCCATATAGAAATGATAGGGCCCTGAGCGCATAAATATATTCACACTTTTCTCTTGCCATTCCTATGTTCTCATATTTGCCATCGTACTATTCCATGACATAAGACGCTTTAATTTCATCTTCCGCTAACTATAAATGGACAAAAAGAGAAAGAAAGGTATAAAAAAGCCGTATGGTACGTGAAGAGATGAGAACATACACATAGACACCCCTACGGAAAACAATGTCTATTTTCCTAAACTATCCAACGCAGAAGACCCATAACTATAATTTATTTGACTTCATCTGTTCTTTAGCTTAACTTACAATGACGTGTAAACGCGTGTTTGAGAAGTCCCAGTCACACTCCTCCTTTAAAGATTCAACCTCCCAATCATATACATTCCTCATTACATCTGAAACCGACGTGGCAAATAAGAATGTCTCCTAAAATAGTAACTTATGTATCATTCTATTATGTAGGCTCCAGAGATAAACGATTTTAAATTAGTGTAAGGACTTCCAGAATATACGGGTTAAAGTGGATTACTCTGAAGCTAGTAAAAATAATCCGACTTTCTATGACCCGCGAACATAATTCTATAACACAGCCTCCCTTTTCTGCTTTTTCTTCCTAAAACATTCATAAAAAAATATTTACTCACATTAATAATCACTGGAGAGCATTAAGAAATGATCGATTTAATGTACACATATACACTATTACTTCATTATCACATCAATCATCATCCCTCGGAGAAGAATGAGTAAGCAGGTATTCTTTCCTGTCGTTTCCCTTCCCCTTATAACCTCATTAATTGACGCAGCTGGCATTAGGGGCCGGTTATAGGTCAATAAAATATGCCACATCATAATTTTTCTCTTATTTTTTCCTTTTTTTTTTTCTTCCCTCTTTCTTTTTTTTTCTGCCTGTTTCCTTTTTTTCTCTTTTTTTCCGGTCTCTTTTTTTTTTTTTGCTTGTTTCTTCTTTTTTTTTGCCTGTCTCCTCTTTTTTTTTCTTCGTTTCCTTTTCTCTCTGCCTGTTTTTTTTCTCTTTGCTTCTTTCTTTTTTTCTTCTAGCTGTTTCTTTTTTTTTTGTCCGCTTCTCTTTTCTTTGGCCTTTTTCTTTTGTTTTTTCTTGTATTTCTTTTATAATTTCTAGTTAACTAAGCCCTCTTAATCTTACTGGTTCTACTTCTGTTTTAATGGGTGCATACTTCTTTATAAGATGTCCCGTGTGTCGGGTGTCCATCGCATTCTACAATCCTGTGTATTCACAAATAGACACTTTGTATTTCCATGGGATCTGTGTAACTTAGGAAGACAAAACTATGCAACATAAGCGTCCTCTCTCTTAACGTAATATTTAGTGACATCATATGTCGAATGTAATCTTTGCCTAAGCATAACTTCGCTGTAAAACACTGCTAATCTAGTTAGACTTCACGAAACGGGGGGAAATTCAACAGGCCTGTTCTCATCATTCATCCTTAAAGAGCTATATCACAATGGGGATATAATTACATCACTGAGAAATGTATGCTCTATTTCAGGGAGGCATCTTCTCTCTTTCATTTAAACGTACGGCCCCTCTGGAAAAAACAAAATGAACTGTTTAATTCTTCACGAGGCACTAACAGAAATCTGATTAGACTGGACAGATGCTACTGCCACAACATATGGGGTCCTTATTGTCCATAAAATAAGGCCCATGCAATGATGGATACGATTATATGTCCAAAAATGCGATGACGTCTCTTCCATAAATGCATAAAATGGCCAGTCAAACTCGTTATAACTCATTCGGCCCATTTTACGGGGGAGCCTAATTCTACCATTATGAGAAAAATAATCCACTCCGATTATTAATATATACTTGAGCTTCCTCTCTTCAATTGAATGCGCCCGTATTCTAGGCAACCAATGTCAGATGGGAGCGCACTATTCAGGAGGATTTAAAGATAGATGTAAAATACAGTAAGTCAAAACATTGCATATATACTTTTTCCAGCTCACTGAAATGTGTAAACCCCACCAGGAAACCGCTAAGCAGAAGTTGGTTAATTGCAGGAACAGAGAGTTCACCTCCATTTCCCTATTGTGTTCTATAGGACCTCGTGTTTTACAATGTGGGGGTACCGTCAATGTTTTGATTGATCATAATGACTCTAATGAACAATGATGCTATAATCCAATGCAAATTAGCATCTATCACTGACAATTCAGGACTCCTACTGTGTGTTTACCATCAGATTTTCTCTTACCAATTTGAGATGTGTCCGCGATTCATCACCGCACAGGGCTGTTACAGCATCCTATATAGCATTCACCCATCAGTACGGAAAGAAAAAAGAGGGATGTTCATAGGTGGCACAACACATAACTGTAATCTGTTCTGGGATATTATTCTTTACCCACAAAATGTGAACTGGGGGGCATAAAGATAACGAGCCAAAAAGTAGAACCGTTACTGCCACGCCGTTGGTACCTCCCGTCTGAATCTTAAAATAGGCTCCCTTCTTTTTCGATTTCTTTCATTCTTACGTGAAGCTTAAAATTTTAGGAGAGCCCCAGCAAAGCACATCTTAAAAGAATAAGTGTCCCTATAGGAAAAGTATCCTTCCAATCCATAAAGGGAATGACTTAAGATGAGACTAAAGAAAGAAACAATACACATTAACATGATCAGCTGTAGTCAAGATAGAAAGGAAACAAAAGAAGGGACGCAACATAAAAAATCCTACTCCAGAGGTAGAGACACATTCGAGTTATTATGGATACCGTTGTGTTACTAAGGAATGGATGTATATTTGCTCAAAAAAGAAACCGGAGCATTCTTTTCCTCGAAGAAAAACACGTCTTATGTTAATGACTGCATACGCTTAGGTAAGTTAAGAGGTGCTGTCCTCGCTGAATGCGCTACCAACTTCTGAAGACAGACATATAATGGAATCGACCATCCTCTTCGAAATCCTTGGAACGCGAGCTGTGCGTAGGGCACACAGACGAGATAACGGACAAAGCGTATCCGCCCTCCACACTTTACCACTCAAGGATTATTCCCTTTTTAACAAATTCGAGGTGGGGGGATGTCCAATTAATCGATAAATATGTAAAGTATAAAAATGAGTCGGAAAATAGTATGTTGGAGAAAAGCCTGATCTGCTCAGCCAACTGACGAAAAAGGACACTTTTTATATACACACTCACGCGTACTGCTTACTAATTCGGAATTCCTCTTTTTATTTCGTAACCCATACAGACCGTAATGCATTCGCTTATATTGATCCTGACATGTACACATAATGGGCGTAGGGGGCCTGATTTAAGCCGGGAGTAACAACACAGCAGCCGTGGAGTTGTCACAATTTAAACCGTGTAAAAGATGTAACAGCAGGGTTCTAACATGCAGTTACCTGTGCACCATGGTTTCGTTCCCCCGCCACCGTGATGCTGTCGAAGTTGCGAAGAACTAAATGAACCAGGTGAACGAAAGATAGAAGCCCTTCATTCAGAATGGAAAAATTAAAAAGGTGAAGGGCTGCTTCCGTCCCCTTTTAGCGACCGATAGCGTGGCGGATGAGAAAAAAAAAGAAAAAAAAAGAAACGGAAACAAACAAAAGGAAAAGAAACGAAGAGATAAGAAGAGATAATGCCCAATCAATGGGCCCCAAATGGGCTGCGCAAATGTGGCTCAGTTATTCTTTCCATTTAGCTGGAACGGAGGTGAGGGGTTTGCACAACCTCCCCCTTCTACATTCTTCATATGGGGGGAGGGTATAACACCCTAGGGGATTTGCCACATGGCGGAGAAAAAAAGTAGGGAATTCTTTTGGTACCACAACGCGGGGATAATATATATATACCACTTGAAAGGGGCATACCTGCGGGTGCATACATTCAGATGACACACGTCGCATACACTCGCAAACGCACTGATACGGGGGCACGTACAGGCATACACGATGATTTCCTGCTTGGCAACTGGTTCCTTTTTTTTTTTCGATTTCGTGCCGCTGTAGCAACCCCTGCAAGGGTCTCCAGTTGCGCAGCTGGATGCGCATACGTGTAAACGTATACGTATATTATATGTACAGGTATGCTTACGTTGTGCATATGCGGCGCTACATGTATGTAGCCAGTGGTGTGATTCTTACCAAAAACCACCACCGAAAATGATATACGTACAGCATGCATATATATATACACAAATATATATGCATATATATTTGTGCGTGCTCACTTGGTCGAAACCCTTCTGTGGATGCCAAGAAAAAATTAGAAAACGCAGGAGTCAGAAGGTTGCATCGTTTTATTACGCGTACAACGGAATACATTTTCTCATCTAACCGTTTTCACAATTCGGGTATCTGAAAATATTAACAAATAAATAAAATTTCGAAAAATAAGGCCAAGAAAAAGAAAGAAACTGCAAAAAGGGAAGATGCATTTTTTCAAAAGAAGCCCATCATTCATCATCGCAGCATCCCCCCACATGTAATTTTTGCCAGCCCATTTGCCCCTACGGCATAGCATCCCCTTTCTTTTTTTTCATTTTGCGCTTAAAAAATAGGCTGTATGTACGTGCATAAGCGCACTGCTACCCTACCTCGCGTGTTCTTTTTCTTCGTAAAGCATAACTTATAGGAGAACGTAGCTCGCAGCTCCAGATTGCCCCCTTTGGTTTGTTCATCGAAGTGCCTGCCCACATATTTTTCCCTGTTCAAGGAAGCCAGCCCCCCCCGACCCCTCTGCCGCGTAGCTTAAAAAGTAGGGAAGAAAACAAAAAAAAAAAAAAACTGCGTACTTGAGAGGGAGAGCATTATTTGTATACCCCCCTTCGCCTTATACATACGAGAACCAAACTACGTGCCTTTTTCGTTCCTGCTTCGTTCCTACATCATCAATACTTTGTCCCTACTTAAAAAGCACTTACAAATTCATGTACATGCATTGTAAAGCCTCATAGAGAATACAGGAGAACGCTTCGTTTTATGAACAAAAACTGTTGGCCATTCTTTAACCCGCCTCTCAATTCCCCTTCTCCCATTTTGTTAAACACGCGAAGCCCTTTTCTTCAATCATGGAAGATGACAAGAATGATTACAATCCCGAGGAGGAAGTCACCACTGGAAATTGGAACACCCCGAAGGTATGAAAACGAAGTGCATATTTCTGTACTTGAACATACCGTGATGAAGGCGCAACTGGGCCAATCAAGAACTTACACCCCCTGTTTGCTTCTACATGCCGGCATGTCAGACAGAATATTCTTATCCTGCCCTATGCTCCCGCCACCACTCTGTAAACGCCTCCCCAATTTTTGATGCGCATCTCTGTTGTTGCGGGGAAGCCCCGTTTGCTGCGCCGATCTTCCCTTTTTTTTTTTCCGGTGGTTAGCCCATATGCTCCTTCCCTGTCAATTTTTTTGATCCGTGTGTATATTTTAAGAAGAGACCATTTCTCTGTACATGTATATTTTCCCCATATGTGAGCACCGTGTTTGCATCTTTTTTTTTCCCCCCCGTGCAGATAGAATTGAAAGAAGTGGAGATAACGACGGGAGAAGAAGATGAAAGCCTGTTTTGGTCAGGAAGATCCAAACTGTACAGGTGGGTAGAAGGCGAGTGGAAGGAACGAGGACTAGGGGAATCGAAACTGTTATTACACAAGAAAAAAGGAATCATCAGGTTTCTTTTAAGACAAGAGAAAACACTGAAGGTTGTGGCGAACCACTATATTTACCCCAATAAGTCCTACTGCAAACTCGTGCCCAACGCAGGGAGTGAAAAAATTTACGCTTGGACAGTGAAAGATTTTGCGGAGGAACCGAAAATTGAGCAGTTTGCGTTAAAATTCAATACGGCGGAGGCGGCCAAGCTTTTCAAGCAGAAGTTTGATGAGGCTGGCCAAGTGAATTTGAAGCTGCTCGATGATAATGGGCAGTTGAAGGGGAAGGTGGGGGAGGAAGAAGGGGAGAAGGATGGAATGAAGGAAAAAAAGGAACAGAAAAATGAAGAGAAAAAAGAAAAGAAAGAGCAAGAGAAGGAGGAAAAGAAGGAGGAGAAAAAAGTCGAAACTGATGCGAAGGGCAAAAAGGAAGAAGAGAAAGAGCATGAGAAGAAGGAAGAACAAAAGGAGGACAAGAAGGTCCAAACTGATGCGAAGGGAAAGAAGGAAGAAGAGAAGGGGAAGGAAAAGTCAAAGGACGCAGATAGCGATAAAACCAAAGGGACGGATGACAAAAATAAGGAAGACGACAAGGGAGCGGAGAAGTCGAAGGAAGATTCCAAAAGGGGGGAGAAGGTGAATAAGAAGAACGAGGAGGAAGAGAACATCAAGCGAGAAAACTGACTCGACTGAGTTTGTCCTCCGGGTGGATACAACGTTCGCTTTTGTTCAAATGTGGATGAAACCGTCCCTTCTGTACACGCTTGAACACACGTACTCGCTACACCTTGCTAACAACATCGAAAATAACATGTAACACAGTCGTGGCCCCTCTATCGCGTAGGGAGGTTTTCCCATGTGAAGACATAAAATTTTTGCACTTTTAAAGGGCGACACGTCTGCTTGTGCTACTATATGCTGCCCCACTGAGCGCGGGGGTGTACATATATGTATGTACGCATACGTCCGTATATATATATGCTCGTGTGCGCCCCTGCATAGACGTCTATGTCTACATCCACGAGGTTTTTTAAAAGCATATATACAGCCATGTATATATTTTTTTTGTACTGGAGAATCGAGCAGTCATGCTGCGCAACTAAAGCTCGGCAGGTATGAAAAAATGGGGATAATCTGCCAAAATGTGCAATAATATATCGAAAGATGCCGCAAAATGCTGAGAAGCTCCTTCTCATAACAACGCGGGACGCACGTCATTTTTCACACAAAGCACAATCATTCTTGTACACCTGCCACAACAAAGCTGAGTTCCATTTCGAAAAGTTGTACACAACCTTATGCATGTGTGTAGTCAGACACCTTCTTTTTAAGCTTATAATCGTATATAACTCCATGTGCACACATTTCTGCGGAATGCATACTTCTTTGTAACTACGTGTTTATGGGCCTAGCCCTTCTGCGCGTACTTATCTGCGTATCCATTTTCATATGTTTCCATTTACACCACAACTTAGGCATACACCTCCATGTGTCATGTGCAAAACTTCGTTAAATGCATAAATGCCATTTTACTTTTAAGAGGGCACCAATTTGTGCGCCGCGAACAGGGCGACCTGCCGGGGGGGCTCCAAACTTTTTCGAAACCTTCTCGTGAAATATGAGGCCTCGTATAGTGAATAACATGGCACATATGACGATGAACACGTCGGGAGCCCCATGAATGCGTCTGTGAAGTATCTTTTGCGTACATCGTTCCAGGTAGAGTTGCCACTGCGATGCGGGAGTACCTGCATGGAAGTGCAAAGCGAAACAGTGGAAGACTGCAAATATATGCGAACATGCTGTAGTACATGCATTCTCCCATGGACGTATGTGCAATAAGAAGGACAAAAGCAACACGCATGAGGATGGATTTTCCCTTCATGCACATTTTAAACACCCCACGCTGCCGCCTCTTACCCCAAAGGGTGACTCCAATTTTACTGCTTCCTTTTTTTGTTTTCTTGCCGTATGTGCAAAGCGACGAATAGACTGCGTCCATTTCGCTACCCCCATGAAGAAAAACGCGCTGGGAAGGGCACCACGTGCAAAAGGATATTGCAGCCCGATTAATCTGCCCTTCTGGAAGTGGGTGAATAACATGAAGGGGAGCAGCACATCTTTAAAAGAACACGTAACAAAAAAAGAAAAAAAAAATCGCCCATGTGCATGGAGAGGCACACGCGTAACACACACACGCATGTTGCATACGTATAGACAAACAACCAGGTGGCCGTTTGCAACAGAACAGAAACTGAGTGTTGCAATGTACGGCAGAGTGAACGTTACAGTGTACGGACCCCTGAGTGAACTTCCGCATGCGTAAATGTTTTACTTAATTGTACTTTTCCTCGACTGCGGCGCCCAATGGGGAAAACTCTTCTCCTTTGCAACCACAAGTGTTTGCACCTGTAGTGTTGTATCTTCCCCCCCCCATGTCTCTTATTATTTATTTTTTTTCCTCTTCATTTTCGCTGTTTCTTTATTTTTTTTTTCCCAATTTTTTGGCATCCAGCCTACCTGTGCAGACATATGATGAATGTTTTCCTTTGCCTCTCGTGCATTCTGGTAATAAACACACTCCTCCAGAGCTGCCCGGTCAGATGCGACGAATTAAATATAAGTGACAAGGGGAAGATGTTGTACGATTATTTGTTCACCCCCAAGATGAAGGGCCCAAAAGATGGGGGGACGGAGCAGGATGCCCAAGGGGGCGGGGACAAGCACGTGTTGTATAAAACATCGGAAGTACAAATTAGGCACCACGAAGAAGTGCACACAGGAGGAATGGAAAATATTGATCACAAGAAGGAGTTTAAAAAGCATATGAACAAGCTAAAAATGCTACATAAAAGTTTAAAAAGCAAGGATAGAAATGCATACGGTCAGGTAAAACCAAGTGGAGGCGAGAGTGTGCACAACACTGATGGCACACTGCCGGATACCCATCCTAAGGGAGAGGAGACGAGTGAAGAAAGCCTGGCCAAATATGTACAGAACGAAATAAAGAACAACGAGAAATTAAATAAAGAAAAAAAAAGCTACGAAGAAATTAACTTACTGGAGGATAACTCAAAGAAATTACAAAAGGATATTCATACCTGGCTCCAGTCAGTACAGAACATATCGGAAAAGACCAACAAATTGAAGGACATTAAGACCCAGCTGCTGAACAACATCGCCTCGTTAAATCAGACCCTGACGGAAGAAATTGAAAATATAAACGAGATTAGAAAGTTGCAAAAGGAACAGAATGAAATATTTTCAGAAAATTGGCTCTACTTCCTGCCCTCCACGTCGGACAACTTGGCCAGCGAGGGGCGGGACGGCAATTTTCAAGTGTTGAACTACTTGGAGGAGTTTAACAGGAGGGACGCTCCGCACGTGAGTGATGAGCACGCGAGTAGGGGACACCCAAACGGTGGGCTTCCAAATGGGGGCCTTCCAAATTGGGGGAAAGTTCATAAGACAAACACGGACACCAACAGCGGGGAGAAGTCGTCCGACTCCCGCAGCTTCTGCAGCGTGCTCGTCCTGCTCGCGATTGCCTTTCTTCTCAGTTAGCATTCCACTGAAGAAAATGCACACAAGAGCATATAAGTGTGTATGCATGTGTGTATATGCTTATGTGGATACCTCTGTGGGGAGGAACATAACGGCTTCCTAGAGCTTTAGCAGGCCCCCCCTCAAATGACCTCACGAACGCAACGTTTCCCATTTTGTAAATGCAGCAGAAACGCCCAAATGGTGTTGCCACTTTGATCCCTGGAGAAGCAGAAAAATAGATGTCTTTGTATAAACGACGGTGTCCTCCCACTTGTTTGTGCTTCATTCACGCGTCGACACAAGGTGAAAGGCTCTCCACATCCGCGTGGAAGCACGCAGAGTCTGCCGTTAAAAGTCCACCTAAAAGTGCCGCCAAGTTCGCCCCAACTGGCACCCCTTTCCAGATAAAACTTCTCAACAAATTGATAATTTCTCCATTTTTAAAAACACCCCCGTGTAAAAATGTCAGTTGCGTCTGGAGCTATACATTCGGCGCCATGTGTGTGACGCGTAAGGCAGACCTGGAAGGCGGGGAAAACGCTACAAACATATGGTGACCCACTGAGTGGGTCGTATACTGGGGAACAAACGGGCGTCCCAACGGTAAGTTAAAACTTCTCAACACTTAGAACACGTTAAGATTAAGCGGTTAAATTACGCACAAAAAAGAGAAAAAAAAAGAAAAAAGACAGACTTCCGCGAAGAGGGGGAACAATAACGTTGTGCAAATAACTTGTCGTGAAAATAAATTAGGAAAATGTTAAAAATGAGGAGCTAACTACATTGGCAGCGGCGCCCGACGGAGCGGTTAAAAAGGCCACGGAAAAAAAGGCTGCAAAGAATTGCAGGGCGGTAGTGTCTCTTCCCACCCAATACACCTCCCTCTATGACTGAAAGAACGGATGGTTCTTCTTCACGGCGAAGAGCATCTTCTCGTACAGCTTGGCGTAGTTGCTAATCATCTTCTTACTGCTAAACTCATTGACGGTATCCTCAAAATTGTCTATGTCGATGCTAGGTTTAGGGAGAAACAAGCAGGTGACTGATCGTTTTAGTTTGCACAAACGGGCCAGCTTATTCTTTGTCGTAACGAAGGTGTAAGGTATCCTATGTTCTTCACAGAAAACGGGCATGTGACATATTATGTCGATTGGAAATACGTCTATAGCCAAGAAGGCAATGCCTTCCATTCCTTTCCTAATTGCTTTGACAACCTGCGTTAGGCCTATGACAACGAATTTGTTTTTCAAAATTTTTTTCTTCCGTTCGTCCATCTGCTCATTTGTTTTTATGATATGCATGGCTGTTACTTTGGCATAGTACGCATAGTCCAGTATTTTAAGAAAATACTTAAAATACTTTTTTTTCAATAATGGCACGCTAATTTTCGAGATGTATGACTTGCTGTTTTCGATTTTTATTTCTTCTACCATTTTGTCGTAACTCCTTTTAGGCTTGTCGTCCCTGTCGTCCACGCGATCGTCTCCTACGCTCTCCTTGTCGCTGTGATCTTCTTCCTCCATGTTCGCGTAGAGGATGGGGAAACGCTGTTGGGCAATGTTTGTGAGTGTTGCACGGTTTCTCCTACCAGGTGTGCCTTTCCGCGCTCCTTCCTAAGTGCCACAGGTTTGGCCTTCGAAATGCTGACGCGTTGACTAGTTCGGGGAAAGGGCCACTCCAGGCTTCAGTATGTATATGTATTTATATATTCCTCTGTTGACGCACGCGAGAGTTGCCTCAGTTGGGAAACCCGTTGCGTGATACATAAGACAAGGGAAGCCAACACGTCGCGTTTCAGGAGGGTAGGGGCGCGGCCCGAGGATGTCACGTCGTCCCCTCGCCCGTTTCAATCATCGATCCGGTCATATATCCCCATTTGTTGTTGCAGCAAAATGAGATTATCTGTAGAAACCGCCCTGTAACAAACCACTGCGTCGGTACTTAATGTAGGGGTTCCCCGAAAAAAATGCTTTAAATAAAAAAGGTAAAAAAATTTAAGGAGCAAAAAAATGTTTATCCCTTGCCAGGGGAGGCGAACGGTTTCCTCATTCTTGCAAGTACGTAACTGCTTATGCGTGCGGAAATTTTGGCATACCATCGGATTCCGCGTTGCCTCAGATAATGCGAAAAAGTTCTGTTATAGCCTTGCAAAGGTATATACAGGAAATGCTGCAAAAGCTATCCAAGTCGCGCAAAAAAAAAAATTGCATACATAATATACAGCGCAAACTTTGATTCACCTTCCTTCACGTAATGCATAACGACGCGGCGAGGCCTCCCCCCGGGCGAAAGCATAGTGCACAAAATTAATCCACACAACGGAGCAACTTGCGGAAGTTCTGTAAAGGGGGAAAATTGGAACGGCGATCAGAAAAAGGGTAATTTAAACGTAATGATCCCTCGAGGACAACAGCAATTTTGCCATCACCTCAAAGGACGGACATTCATGTTTACCAAAAAATGGGACGATTTGGCAGCTGCAACTGGGGGGAAATCTGCCCACTCGGGAGAAGTTCGTAAATAAAATGTATTCATATAAATGGATACATAAATGTATGTTCATATATATAGCTGCATACACGCCGATGGCGACTCGTCTTTGTCAAGAGCGGAAACCGTTGGGCGACTCGGGTGAAATGCCGCCGGGGTGGGGTGGGAACTAGTTCACGCGCCCGCTACAAAACGTAAGCGGGAAGAAAAGGTGACACAGGGGATGATACGTGCGTATGCATCCAAGTACGCCAAAAAATAAATGACAGCTCGCGACTGAAAAAAAGTAAAAAAAAAACGAAAAAAAAAAAAGCGAGGCTATCGTTCGTTTTTTTCTCCCCTTGGGCTATTTTGCCTTTCCTGACAATTGACAAGTGGGCCCCAATAGGTAAAGAACAAAAACGTGCACAGAGCGTTCTGTTTTTTCCCCCCCAGTGTACGCCACCCAAATGAAGATAATTTGAAACTCAACAATTTCCATACTTTTCACGAACTTCCCGCAAACTTCCTGCATCATTTGTCGCTCCGGTTTTGTGCGTAGTTTATGCGTGTAATGTGCTTGGCGTGGGGGCCACTAGGGCATACATATGTACCACGCTTACACGTATGCCTATACGCACCTGCAGCCACCTTCCTATGCCTCCGCGCGAATGCTGCACAAGTTGCCACGTGGAACGAGCTTAGAGCAGACCAGCCCTTACATGAAAGGGTAAAGTTTGAGAATCAACTGAAGGCAAAATAACAAAAATGCTTTAGCCTAGCGGCACCTTCATTTTTTTTTTTTTTTGTGAAGAAGTTGTGACCACGTTCTTGTTAACAGTAAATGGGGTGCCATTTTTACATGAGGCAACTCTTTTTTGTTAATCCTGCTAGGCGTCCTTATGTGTTACTTTGCGATAAGCTATGTGATTGTGCAATCGCCTTTGTGTGTCATTGCGGTCATGTTTCCTTGGCTGGCCCTTCTTCCTCATTCTTGAGGAAGTTCATGTTGCGGGTTATCGGTTGCCCGTTTTTTCTCGCGCGGTCTCTTTTCTTTACCCCCACCGTGTTTACTTAGGGGTATATATACACACACGCGGATGAAATTTTTTTTTTCCGTTCTGCACCTGTCACCCCGATAGGTACCCCTTGTCCACCTTTTTGTGACGCTGTTTCGTGCGTTTCCGTTTGACTGTCTCATTTAACGTGCCACTTTGCAATTTTGTTACTTTATCGCGGCACCCCACCATAGTGTGGTCATTTCGCTTCTTCACCATTTGGTTTGCCCATTGGCTGACCAATTCTCCTGCACCATTTGATGAACCAATACTTTGTTCTTTATTTTACTGAAGTTTATTTTATTCAACTTTATTTTATTATTTTTTCTTTTTTTCTTTGTTCTTGGTAATTTTTTTTTTTTTGTGTATATCTCTCCCCCCCTTTCTCTTTTTTTTCGTATTTGTCAATTCGTCCGACTTGATGACGAAGTAGGAGGACAAGAAGCACAGCCCCCCCTACCCCCTGGTTTTACATTTCTCCACGAAGGAGCGAACACATTGGAGATCATCCCATCATGGGGAAAAACGAACTGGAGGAAAGAAACAGAGTAATATGCCCGTTGCGTAGAAAAATCAGACAACTTGTGTTTACACATGGGGTACTTCTACGCTGATGATTATATAGCAAAGCTGTTATTGCGAGTGATGTTTTTCCATTAGGAGTCTCCGCCCTCCAGGGTGTCGCAGCACCCTAATGTATTCCCCTGCTTCTTTTTTTTTGTGTCGCGTGGTAGGCGCTCAAGGATGTCAACATAGAGAACATATTCAAGTATGTGGTCCGCTGCGGGCTCGCCGGAAGGAAGAAAACGGCGCTGATTTTTTACCTTTGTAACTCTCTGGAGGAGAGTCACCTGGAGTACGTCCGAAATGAGTGGCAGGAAAAGCAGAAAGAGACTCACCAACATTGCGCACAAGTGTGTTGTAGAAGTGTGTAGAAGTATGTAGAAGTGTGAAGAGGAGTTTCCATATAGATATGTGAATCCACCATTTTTATTTTCCCCCCCCTCTTCTATAGGCGCAACAACGTTTTGGTGCTGTACCTGAGTCTCCTTTCATCCTTCGAAGGTCACCTGGGGGAATTGTTCCAAAGCAGAGCATCCGCAGGGAAGAAAGAACAAAGGGGGAACCCAGAGGCGCAGGAATCCGATTTGCAATTGGGTCTCAAATTGAGCAAACTGAATCTGTTGTTTAGCTACATCATCACTCATATCTCCTATTTTGTGTCGCTCAGTGGAAAGTACAAAGAGGACACCTCCCTTCAGTTGTTCGTTCAGTATATGCACATACGCACATTTGTGACGCTACAAAAATTTGCATTCCAAAAAAAAAAAAAAAGTCAACTGCAAAAATTAATAACTCTCAATCATTTGAAAATATTATTAACCTTCTTAATTAACATGTACAAGTACAGAATTTATGAAGTTTTAAATGAAGAAAACTTGTACATGATTTCCAAGTTAATTTTTTCAATTATTTTTTTTTTTTGTCATATAAGAGAGAACTGCAAGACGGAAAAATTGTTTATTTGTTTTTACGATTATGTCTACCATGTGGCTGAGATTTTTATCAGGAGATATTTATACCACTTGGGGAAGAAGGGCAAGGGTTCCAATGCGTTATTGGTGTATTACCAGAACATGGTAATCTTTGTATGTGACTATATGAGTAAGCTCAAAGTTTTGAAACACGTGGAGAGGTACATTTTGAATAATGGGAAGAGCCCCTTTTGCAGTGTTACCCTCCTCAGTGTGGTGACGAACACCGTTGAGCGGCACTTGCTGCGGCCGCACGGGGAAGAACCCCCTTTCATGAGGTTGAAGAGGAGGGAGGTGTCTCAGCCGAGTCCACACGAGGGGAGTAGTAGTCCCTTAACGGATGAACAGAATGGAAAGAACGGTTACATCCTCCTCATGGAAAGAAGAACGGTCAGCCAATTCGTATTTTTGAAGCTACTTCGATTGGTGGAAATCCTGTTAGTGAAGAAAGACAGAATATATTTAACTGTCTATTTGCACGAGACGATCGGGAGGGTGACCAAGTCGACGATGGAAAAAATTTTCCTCATTGTTAACGGAGGTGATGAAAGGAAAAACAACAACATCATGATGATGACATACGACCGGCTGTTCTACCTCTACGAGTACTACTGTAACATCCTTTTTTATATAATAAACCGAAGTGATAAGAGAAAAGTACGGGACAGAAGAGGAGAAGCCAATAGATCAACCATTAGAAATACGGTCTACATGTATTTGCTCAACAGCTGCATTTTTCACCTGTACGAAATTTATCCACTGGTAATCCTCCTTCTGCATGTAACCCCAAATGAGGTACGAAGTATTTTGGGATATAATAAATTCTCCCTCGTTAAAAGAATGCTACGTATCCACATCGGAGAAATGGAAGTCACTCGAATTGTGAACCTTTCGATATTCTTCTTCGACGTGGTGCTGAAAAATGTGATCAGCACTCCACTGGTGGGGAATTACACCTTTCCCATTTTGAAGTGCCTCCTTTGGAATGATAAGAAGTTAAGTAAATTTTTTCAAACAGTGGTGGGAACGTATGCTGGGAAGACAGACGGATGTGCCGTCATCGAGTGGCAGCAGAATAGTGTTCCTCGTTCGAAATGTTTGCAGGAGGCAGATCGAACGGAACAGAATGAGAATCCGAACCTTGGCTATTATCACAGTGATGTTTCAGCTGCTCACGGGGGTTGTGGCTTAAGGAGAGCCCCCCTGATCAGTGCCAATCTGGTTGTAAACGAAAAGAACAGTTTTGTCATCCTGGTGAATAGTTACGTGAAGTTGAATTGGGCCAATTTGGGGGGAGAAGCACCCATTGGGGGATTGTCGTCGGGGAGCACAATCGACGTCGCCGATGGTGCAAAGGTGAGGAATGAATTGAGTCGGCTAAATCACACCAACAGGAGTAGCACTAACGGATGCCTCCGCAAGAGGGACCACTCCCGCTGTAACCGTGGGGCCACCCGAGGGAGGGATGAAATCTACACCAAGGCGTACTTCCCCCTGCTCATGAAGCATCTTCTGTCCCAACTAATAAAAAGAACAAAAAAGAAGAACTTCCTAGATGATATGGAAAGCAACTGTAACAACTACCTAGGAATATACATTAACAAACTGCACTACTACTGCAACAATATTTTTACTTATAAGCCCATTTTTAAGCATAACTTCAGCTCATTTGTGAGGAGCCATATGGCGAAAAATAAGAGGCACCTGATTGAGAATGTGTCGTTCTTTAATCAAATGTTTAACTTGTATAGTAGTAAAAAGAAAGGCAGTGAAAAAAGAAAAAAAAAAAATTTCTTCTTCAAGAATAAAACCTTTGTCCTTTCGAGCATAGAGAAGAAGCATAGCTACTCCAATTACACCTTCCTAAGGAAAATCTTAAATTACAAGATCTCCTACTTTGACAATGAGCATTATTATTTCAGATTCTTATTTAATTTAAAATTCTTGCACAATCTGAATGACTATATTAATGAGTACTTTTTGCTGAAGAAGAAACAGCTAAACAGGAAAGTCATTTTTAATATCAGCTTGAATATAAAGGAGAAGATAAAGAAGATGAAGCCTGGACTGAATGATCTGTATGATCACCCTGTGGGTAATGCTTCCGTCGGCTCATTGGGTCCCTTTGGACAAAGCGACTTAAAACTACAAAGCAAAAGTGAAAGCATCGTTAAAGATTTTCAAGCCAGTAAAGGATGCAGATATTGGCAACCCAAGAGAAGGGAAAAAAGAGAAGGGAATTTGTTGCTCCATTTTTTATTTATAAATTACAATTACTGCGTTTGCAAGCAAGACGCCGGTGACCACATGAGTCGCTACCTCCTCCTTATTTTGAAGTATTTTGAGAGTGTAATGCCGTATGTACATATCTACAAGTACATTTGTGCACTGCTGCTTTTTCTAATTTCGTTCGTGGAGAGGAAGCCTCTGTCCCGCACCGATGTCCTGCGCGTGGGGGGGGGAGGGAGCGCATTAGGAAGGGGTGCTGCAAACTCCTTAACGAACAGGAGGAAACTCGGTCGAAAGGTGAGGAATAACAACCCGAAACAGTACGGGAGAGCCGCTTCGAAAGAGGGACACGATGCAGGTGAGGCTTCCCCTGTGCGGGGTAACGCGGTAGGAAGAATTGTGTTGCAAGGAGTGGAAAAGGAGTATGCGCGAGTGGAGGAAGATGTGATGAAGGAAATGAAGAAGGTAGGAGCTGGGAGGCATAACCTCCCGACGAGTAAGTGCCCCCTGCTGCAGCGAGCGAGCAATCGCAAGGCAGCCCTGAAGGTATTGACGGGCACGATAGACCGGTTGAAGACATACCTGTTCAGCAACACCTTCCATTACCTGTACCAAGACGTGAGGAAGTACAACAAATATATAACGATGCTGTCGCTGTACTTTTATAAGTTATACTTCACTTTGCTTTATTTCGAAATTTACCAGAGGGATTACCTCCAAGGGAGTGAAGTAGATTTGATTAAAAGCAAAATTGCAGAGATAACCCCCGTTCTGAGCATCAAATATTTAAACAAGAACAACATACATAGTGTATGCAAAATAGAAATTATAAAATCAATCAAAGAGGATCGAACTGAGAACAATTCTCAAGTGGAGGTGAACAATAACGATGTGGACAAGTTATATGTTCTCATAATGCACTACATCGAAAGTATGAAGAGGAAGGAATTCATCCTGTATACGCTGTACCTACTTATCGATAAGGCCATCTTCAGGAATAAATATATCCACAAAAATGTGAAAAAGTTAATTCATTTTAAAGTTTCCACTTTCCTGCATGACATGGGAGAATTTCACGACTACAGCGTTATTTTCTCCACCTTATTTTTGCAAATGAATATAATGAGTTATAATAAGATAATCCGGAACTATATTTATTTCATATTTGATCAGATCTTCAAATTGAAGTTTAGCATCTTATTCGATGGAGGCTTTCTGATTTGTTTTTTGAAGAACCTCGAGAAGAGCAGCCTGGATTATGCATTCTCCAAGATGATCTACGAGGAGAAAAAGAAATTTAAGAATTTTATCGATAAGAAGAAGAGCACCATCATAAAGATTATTTACAAAGTCAATTTATACATTACCATAAATTATCTCCTTTTTTTGAAGATGCTAAATTGCTGCAAATTTTTTCTAAACCTGTACTCTTTCTTCTACTATGAGTTTTACATTTTCTGTGTGAACAAGTATGTCAGGAGGTACCGAGGAAGGCATAAGGAGAGGGTGGAGGAGAGGCTGGAAAAGGAGGAGAAGGACGACGAGGACGATGACTATGACGGGCGTTGTTATTACGAGGAAGTGTCCCAGGGGCGCAGGGCCAAAGAGTTGTGTTCCTCGTTCCCGGACCGTGGTGAGCAGGGCGCGGAAGGGGTAGGCGGTCTTTCTAGTGGTTCGGTGATCGCTGAGGCAAGGGAGCTACTGGAGGAGGGAGACCACCCACACGGTTCACCCCTACACGGTTCACTCCCACACTCGAGGAGCGCCCCCTCGTCGACCGGCAGAAGGAGTTCCCCGAAGAGAGGCCGCAGCGGAAGGGCGACATTGAAGGGTTTGCACTCAACAAGCGGCCTCCTCTCGATGGGGAACAGCCGCGGGCGCTCGAACTACCGTATAATCGGCCGAAGGAGGAGGAAAATTAACTCCAACTTCTTCGAGACGAATAAGGAGTTTAAGGAGTTTCTTGAGAACACCAGTGATGAGTCGCAGCAATCGCGGAAACCAGAGCAGCCGCCTCAACCGGAGCAGTCTCATCAACCAGAGCAATCGAATCCATCGCATCAACGTATGCGCCCCCGTCTTGTGATGCGAAACGACACGCTAAACAACGACGCGAACTATTTCAAGGTTCTGAAAAAAATCAGGGGAGGAAACACATTTATTTGCAACCTCTACGACATTAAGATAAGCAAGCGAATTCTCTACAACAGGAAGCACATCAAGGAGTATATGAACACAGTCAATTTTGTGATCAGCGTCTTCCTAGCCACCAACATCAATAACCTGAACATGGATACACTCAATAATAACTACATCTATATAATTTCAAAAATTGTTAAGAAGAACATCAAATTCTACTTCTTCTATTTTTACTACAGCATTTTCAGAAAGAAGGGCAAGAGGCTTAAAAGTATTTACAGCGTCAATTTGGACACCATTGTGAACAACTCTTTTGGGGGAAGCGGCACCATGGGAGGAAGTGGCATCATGGAAACGAGCCACAACGTGGGAAGAAGCGGCAACGTCTGCAAGCTTAGCATTAAGAAGAAATATATATACGTATTGTACACGTTGTCTACCATCCTTTGTGTGTACAACTACAAGTACGCCTTTTTCAATTACTACTTTTTTGTCTTCTACAAGTTTGTGAAGATGTTGGCCAAGATGACTGCAAAGTCCATATGGGTGGGGAATTATCTGGTGGACCGCTGTGGGGGGGAAGCGGCTGTACCGGCGGACGACAGCCACTGCGCGGAGAAAAACGCCGCAGAGAGGACGGGGCTCGACGAGCCACAGAAGCCAAGAGGACACTGCAAACTGTCTCGCCTGAGCAAAAGGGAGAGGAGCTTCCTCGAAAGCGACATGCTTATGATTAAGCGTTACGTGAATGACTATATAAGAGAGAGCAGCATACGAATGCACAGGAACCTATTTAGAAGCGACATGCCGCATAAGTACGTCCTGGACAGGTACACCACCCTTATTAACAACACACTCCTGCTTCTATTATTTACGAACTACTTGTCTCTCACGTACCAAAATATAAACCTCACGGAAAATAAAATAGTGCAGAGGAAGATCACTCTGCTGGAGAAATACAAACACTACTTAATGAACAAAATTGTGCAGATATACTTTTTAAACATCCCCTATTTGTGTAACTATTTAGTCGTCACGTTGGAGTTTTGTCTCCTCTTTAGTAGGACCTTTCTTACCATAAATTATACCTCATTTTCTTTGATGAGGGAAATGAAAGCCATTTTCAGAAATGGCTACATGTATCGCCTGGTGAATTGCTTGAACGCGCTGCAGCATATGAAGACCTTCTACCATCTCAGTTGTTACCGGAGCGGCAATTTGTATTTCCACAACTATAAGAAGGTGGCCGATGAGAAGTTTCACTGCTTCGGGGAGGGGAACTTAGGAGGTGTAAGAGATGTAGGAGTCGTAGCAGGCGTCATAAGCTGCAGTAGAGTCGCCCGGGGGAACACCACCTTGGAGCGGGCCGAGCAGGATGACAGCGACGGTAGCCTGAGCCAGTACGACGACTACATTTACAAAGACGCATTCAAAGAGGTGAAGGAAGTGCTAAAGAAAAAAACCAAGCAGCACATGAGAGACTACTTCGAGAGAAGCATGAAGAACATCTTTTACCTGTTAGATTGCTTCAAGGACATATCGAGCATTTCTCTTTTTCTAAATTTTTACCTCCAGGAAAATACAAAAATTAGGGATATATACGATAATCTGCATATACAGAGCATGAATAACATTTACTTGTATAATTTTAAAGCGCTCAAGATAAATTACCACTTTCTATGCATCGTGTTTTTGTCGATTGTCCAGATTTTTAATTACACCTCGAACTTTTTCCACTCGTACAGCTATGTAATCGATCTGTATGCCAAGTACAAATATAGTTACTTCCTTTACGACTACAGCTTGCGTAATTTTTTCTCCTTTTTTAATGTGTACATGTTTCAGATGAGCAGATGCCGACAGAGGAAGAAGGCCTTTGTAAACTTCAGAAACCAGGTGAACACCATCTGCATCAGTGACATCTTTGACTTTAACAGGCTCCTGCTCCAGAAGGGATTTCTATTCTTGTGTTTTTTTTTCCACAATTTTGAGAACGTCCTGCCAGACATTTACTGCGTCAATTGCGCGAATAAATATTCTGTTGGCTGCTACCATAGGAACGCCCTCCCCGTGAATTTGGGTCTTGTGCGCCACGGCAAGAAGGGGAAGCCCGCTGTGAGGAGGATATCAAAGCAAGATACTATGAGGGCAGTTATTAGCGATCCTGCCAGCGGAGTTGCCAATGGCGAGAGACCGCCTGGAAAGAGGAACCCAAGAATGGCTGCTAACCACGTAAGTGACAGTGACGGGGAAGACTCCCTTCCATATGTTGAAGTGGAGCCGGGTGGAGAAAATGACCCCGCTGTGAAGGACTCAAACAGAGTTGGCAAAAAAACCCAAGAAGGCTATTTCGAAATGTTTTACAAAAGAGAAGGGGATAAGAAGATGGCCGTTTCGGTGGAGCATGCAGGTGGGATAAGAAGCCCCCTTCAGATTGACGCCCATATGGACAGAGACATAAAAACTCATGAGGAAGAAATTAATTTTGGAGTGAAGCCAACAGTTGGACATTTCCAGGAGATTGGCGCACAAAAGGGGGATCATTCCTCCGGGGAGAATCTCACCCAGAAAGGGGAGAAGCTTAAGAGTGAAGATAGCCAACTTACTAGGGAAGTCTCCACCCCCATACGCCCGAAGGAACCATCGCGACGAAGCAAGGAGGGCGCCAAGACGGAGAATGAGGAGCATAGTAGCACCATTGGAAAGTACGCCGGAGGGATTATCTCCTATTTTAAAAATAAGGTTACCCGAATGGGGAACAAGAAGGGAAGAGGAACAGGAGCAGGGGGGAGACGACAGGTGAGGAGCAAAACAGGAAATGGTTACTCCTTTGATGACGATTTTGTAGACGCAGAGGAACATGCGAGGTGTAGTTCCTGCGGAGGGAGCAGCGACTGGGGCGGGAGAAGCCTGATGAGAGCTTCCGGGATCCCCAAGAGAGGTGTCAACGTGAGGGGCCAGGACGACGCCATTTATGATAGGAATGAGAAGAATGGCAAGGAGGACGGCAGCTACGACGAGGGTGAGGACCTTGACAATCGGGATAGAGGCCAACACCACCATCACCGCGATGACGACGACCTCTGCTCACGGAAGGTGCGGGAGAAAGACGTGGAACTTCTGAACGCGTACAAGTACCTGCTGACCTATCAGAAGAGAAACAAAAGGAGGCTGTACGACTACCACTTGAAGGAAGAGCTTCGGTGCATGTGTATAAACAAATACATTCATGTCTGCAACTTAATTTACAATTGCCTCATGTATATGTACCAGCTGAAGTACAAATATAAGGATATGAAGAAGAAAGGGTTCTGCCTCTTTGCCTACACACCGTTTAGAAGGAAAAAGGAATTGGACAATATCCATAGCTCCAACGTCAAAAACGAAATAGTTATCAACACGAGGCATCTGCTTAACCTAGACTTCATCATAATGAGTACGCTGTACCTTGCGGAGAGCATTTACATCAACCTATACAAGTGTAAGCTGTTTACAGATATGTGTATCTTCAATAATATAAAATACGTGTGCTTGGAAAATAGCCAGGTGAAGAAGAAGAATAGTTACCAAAGTGGAGATCACATTTTACACTCCGGAAGTAATCGCAATAACGTCAAAGCCGTTTCGGAGCGGAAGCATAGAAGGGACGCGGACCGAAGTGCCTACCAGTCCAGTTACGTGACGTATCAGGCGAATGCGAACGGAAGCAGCTCCTTGAGTAGGCGCAATGTGCTTGAGGAGGAGGGCGAAGACTTCGGTTCGTGCAAACTCACCCGTGGGAATTACAACGGTGAGAAAATGAAGCCGGGCGCGAACAGCCGCAGAACTACCCCCGTCGATGTTGGCATGGCGGCCGGCAGTGGAAAGAAGAAGCAAGTCGAAATTGACACGAACCACATGTGCAGCAGCGGTAGCGGGAAAGGCAACGTAAGTGACCACAGGAGCAGCAACAGCAGCAGTGACGGTGGGGGGAGCAAAAAAAACAGCAGGGCTAAGAGGGAGAAGAACAAAGCCACCAGTAGGAGGAAGAAGAAGAAGAGTGTGAGCAGGATGAGCTTCTTCCTGAGGAGAAGGAAAAAACACGATGTCCCAAAAAGCTCCAGGAATCTGTCCATAAGGAATTACCTTTTTGCGGACAAGAACCTGTCGAAGAAAAGCTGCAAAGTGAAGGACCCCTCGATTAACTACTTTCACAACTATAAGATTCTGTCGGACAATTACAAAGCCAAATTAGCCAGAATGAACAAGAAAAAGAGAAAGAAGGAGAAGCTGAAGGAAAAAGAGAAGGGAAAAAAGGAGAAGAAGAAGGAAAAAGGGAAAGGGAAAAAAAAAGAGGAGAAGGAGAAGAAGCAGAAGAAGGGAAAGAAAAAAGGACCCCCAAGTGAAGCAATTAGATCAACGAGTGGCAGTGCCTTTTACCACAATTATGGGATTTATGGCATTGACGACGATCATGAGGATGACGATGATGATGAAGATGAGGAGGGTAAGCCTAGTAGGAAGGCCAAGTGGAACTTCCAGAGTTTCTTCTTTGGACGGAAGAGGGGAGAGGTAGACCCCGGCCGTGGGAGCGCACACCACGAAAGGGGAAAAATTACTGATGCTTATCGTACGAGTGAACCGGTACGAATTGACAACCTCTTCGTGAAGCACAAATCCAGGAGCATCAAAAACAGCGACATGAATCGTCTGCTCAAAATGGACCGAGGAGCCCTAGAAGAGGAAAACATGGATCGGATAAGACACCTATTCATAACGTTTAACAATAATTTCAAGGAGAAAAAAATCAGCACTTACATCAGCAACATATTCAGCTACACCTCTCTGCATTCCAACTTTAACGTGTTCTATAGAAGCCACTTTGAAATCTTCGACCAGAAGATAAAGGTGGGCAGAGGGCTGCTCAAGGTACTCTACTCATACTACTACAGACACAACTTGTCCACATTCTACAAGGTTTTTAAAAAGATAGAATATATATATGTCTACTTAAATTTACATTTTTACAACTCTCTTTTTAACATGGACGTGAAGGAACTAAATGAGGACATTAACAAATATTCCCTCTTCATGATGGTAAAGTACATCAAGAGACACCTGCACAGCAACCCCAAGCTTTACTCTACCTTCATAGTGAAGGTCCTAAATTTTGCAAACAACGGAGTTCACAAAATGACCAACTTTCTCTGCATGTACCTTTATAACGACCTGCTCAATGTCCTCCATCAGTATTTGATCCAAGTGAGCATAAGCAACAAGCTGACTTTGAATAAATACAACTTATTTTTGCTGAGGAAGAACAAGCTCCCATATGTGCCCATCTCGAACGTTTTATTTCTGCACTGCAATCAGTTCAGCCTGAATGATATCGTAAAGATTTTGTACAGTCACCCGCAGTATGGTCTCTTTTTAAGAACGGTGGCAGTTAGCAATTTGCTGTACTGGTACAAGAAGAGCACCATCACGAATTGTATTTATTTGCAGTTGTTTGAGTACCTGAAGGTGGACCTGGGGAACCGAGTTTTCTTCTTCATCGTTTTTTTCTGCTTCCAATCTTTCCTCTTTCTATACCAGCTCTTCATGAATTTGCACACTTACATCGATGATGAGTACTTGGTCGACTTGGTTCTCCCCCACGAGCGGAAGCAACAGTACGCAGTGGAGGAACTGTCCGATGGCGGACGCAAAGAAAAAACGCAAATTGTGAGCGCGTTAGACGGGCATCACCTGGATCACCAGTGCGTGCTTTTCAACACGGAGATGTTTGCCCGCAAGACGAACCCCGTCAGAAACATACTCATGATTCTCTTTCCCCAGAAGAGCAGAAAAAACCTTCCCACGGGAGGAGAAAGTGATAAACATGGGGACACCACAAATGGTAGGGAAAATGAAAAAGACATCATCAACATGGATAATTTTATTTTTTTTAAATACCAAAGGTACGTGAAGAAGTCACACGTTTTGTCCATAAAATGCTTCCTCATTAAGAAATTACTAATCCAAAATTTGCGTGACAAGAGTAGGAAGGCACTAATCGAGTCGTGTCGATTTCATAATTACATTTTTTACACAAGTCAGCGGGCGGCTCAGTTGGACAAGAATATTCAACAGGACTTTGTAAAAATGGAAGTTCAGAATCTGCTGAACACTATGGATGTACACAGGGTGAAATTGCTCACCAGCAGCAATGTTGTTTGGGGCGTATCGGATGAGGTGAAGATTCTCATGTCCGCCACCAGGACACCAATTCTGTTGACCTTCCACACGTACAGACGGGA